CACGAGAAGTACCAGCTTTCAAATAAAAAAAGAATCATCGAAATTGGTTCACCCAGAAAAAAGTTCTGAGGTAACACACATAAAAAAAAAAAACATACAGTCGAATTGAGTACCGGCTCCTTTTTGGAAGTCGGCAGAAAAAACAGGATAATAGTAAAATATTGTAGGAAACCAAAATCCACCTGGGTTTAGATTTATCTATATGACTGTTCTGAATTTTTAACGCCTGCCCTAGTAGCATGGCCACAAACACGATATGATAAAGCGATTTATCGCTTTGAACTTTCAAAATTCCATTGTATTTTGATGGTTCATAGCGATAAATCGCTTTATAATATCGTGTTTCGATGATCATGTTATGGGGGCTGAAGTAAGTACTGATATCGAAGCATACCTGTGGCAAGTATAATTCATGATAAGTAAAAGGTAATATTATTACAAGTACATTTTTATATTTTTTATAAGTTTCTGTATAACCACTCAGAATAGTATTTTCAGTATAACGTTGTAGTTAAAATAGCACCACAGTCTATGAAATATGGAAGGTAATTTCTATATTAATAGTAGGTAAGTACAGATAAAAATTACAAAGCATAGTTTTCAGTAAAACCTAATTTAAGCTGGTAGAAAAGTATTATAGCACTAAAGGTTAATATTTAATTTTCGAAGATTTCAGTATTTCATTCGGTCGTTTCGTCAGTTTTATTCGGACAAAAGTAGTCGGAAAGTTAGTATTTGAGGCAGTAGATTTCATATTTTGAGTAAGGGCAATTCTTATTTTTTTTTTTGTCGGAGCTTTTCTTACTACCCATTTTATACTAAGAGGTTTGATGATTTCTTAAATTTACAAATTCCTCAATGGATAATAAATCCGTACAATATCACAGTCATGGAAGAAGCCAATGTGGTAATGCAAGAAGAGTTGATCACCATCAGCACGGACGAGGAGTTTAAGGAGAAGATCAACCAAAGTGATCAGAAGTTTTGGTTCCAGCGCAACATTGAAATATAGTATCCTGAATTGTGGAACATAGCTGAAAAATACATTTTTAATACAGTTGCTCAAAAAGTGGCGTATTGCAGGGACGTATAGCGTTCGGGATGTGGGCTATTCCATACTCGAGCTTTTTTTTACCTTTTCTGAACTCGTACGTTCTCTTTCCCAACTGTCAAAATAATGTCTATTAAAAAGAAAAAACCAACCACGAATTCATGCAAATATTTCTAAAAAGAAGCTACTAATTTGTTTCAATATCAGATTTAATGATTTGATTCAATGAGTTAGGTTAGGTTTCATTTCATTACATCTCATTAAATTTCATTTTCATATCATATCAATAAAAAAATTCTACTGAAGACTTGGCTGTATGGGCATAGTTCCCTTTGCCTACTCAGAATGGGTGAAGAAAACAAAAAAAATCTTTGCTCTTTTACGGTTGGCGCCATTTTTTAAAAATTTTCTTTGTGAGTTTAGTTGTTTGTTGCACAAAATTAGTAATTTGGACGATATTTTATTTGAATTAACACCACCGGAACTCAGTATAATTGCACAAAATGCTTTGGAGAACATTTTACCGGAAAAGTCAAAAGTCGCTACATATCTATATCTACATACGACGAATTTATTGCGTGGAAAGAAGAGAAAAAAGCAAATAGTTTTTCAGAAAATGTATGCTGACATACTTCTCCAAACTCTCAGCAAAATTAAAACCTTCTACGTTATGGTCGAGGTTTTCAATGATAAAAAGTATGCAGAAAATAAGGAACAACGTGGATGCTTTCTTAAAACGACAATCAGATCATCAGGTTTTACAACTAAAAAGTCGAAAATATTAACATCGAATGAAGTGGAAAGGTTTTTGAACGAAGCTCCCGATGATCGTTATTTAGCCACAAAGGTAATTTATTAATAAATACTTATATTTTTCTTTAGTATTCAGTTTACGAAATCGCAAAATACAGTCAATATATTATTTAAAAAAATATTAATCATTTCCCCTTTTTTGTAGGTTGCGCTGATTTTTTGGCGTTGTTGGAGCTTGTCGCAGAGAGGAGTTACTTTAATAGACATTGAAGTCTATGGAAAAATGCTACTAATCAAGATTCCGAATACAAAAAATAAGATACCGAGAAGCTTTGTTATTGAAGGAGATTTTCTTAGAATAGTGCAAAAATATATGAATCAGAGGTCCCAAAAAGCAAAAACCGACCGTTTTTTCCAAAATTATCAAAAAGGGAAGTGTACAGCTCAAGCAATCGGGATAAACAAATTTGGTACTATGCCCAAAGAAATAGCTACGTTTCTTGGTCTGCCGGATGCTGAGTATTATACTGGACAGAGCTTCAGGAGAACCTCTGCTACATTATTGGCAGATTCAGGAGCCAATTTGACGTCCTTAAAGCGACTAGGAGGTTGGAAGTCAGACAAAGTTGCAGAAGGCTATATTGCTGATTCATTAAGCAACAAACTAGAAACTGGGGAAAAAAAATCACACAGTTCGTTAATTTAAAGTCCAGTCCGTCTCCTTCACATGACAAAACTGAAGAGAACGTTCGTCCATCTACCTTCGTTGATAATTATAATTCATCAGATCCAATTCCATCAACTAGCAAACGCCATTGTATAACACCTTTGACAAATATACATGAACAATCACACGAAATTAATAATACTTTGTCTCAAACAGTAAATATGTAACCTAAAACTTCCCCAGTTAGTATGAAAAACTGTAGCAATAAGAAATAAATGATTAGTTAGTAGAGTTTATTGTGCTTTTATTATTTTATTAAATTGCTTCATTTTTTCGCAACTGTATTAAAAATAGTTGTGCAGTACACGTGCGGAACCGTCATTGCAACTTGTTCCGACTGTCAACCCTCACCTTCGGCTGCGCCTCGGCTCTGGTAGACAATTGTCTCTTTGCAATGACAGGCTTTCCGCACTTGTAATGAAATGTACTATATCGCTAGTCCATCATCATACCTAGTCGAAATAGGCTTCAGTGTGGTTACAAATATTTTGTCGAAACAAAGAAACCATTTGAAAACGCGGAGATTTAAGGCTGCAACTCACCAATATTGAACCAGCTTCAGTTAGATTGGTAGAAAGTCACCAGGTTCATCAATCACACTGAATGATTCATTTTTTATTTTTACTTTGCGATTTTAAAAGATTTTTTTTTTAAAGTTATACTTCTTTTGGCGCGTTTTGAAAAAAAATGATGAGTGTATTTTTTACGATGCGCGCGTACACCGACACCTAAAAACGACACCATGAAGTTGTTACGATGGACGCGCACACCGACACCTAAAAACGACACCATGAAGTTGTTACGATGGGCGCGCACACCGATATCTAAACGCGACAACTTCAGTTGGTAATTGTCTGTCAACTATCAATTTTTCGTGATAACTGATAACTATATTCAAGGTAGTTATTTTTTAGTTATTTTTGTTTTGTTACGCTAAAGAAGTATAAATACGTGCGTACATAAGTACACACACACTTTTGTTTTAAAGTAATTTGGCTATGGGGGTCTGAAGTATCAGTTCATTTTGGAAAAAGTGTCGTTATGCCAAAAATAGTTTGGAAATCCCTGACCTAACAATCCAGGGGTCCACAGAAAAATGATGAATGAATGATTATTTTATCTGCTCACTCTTTTCATAGGTCAGAAAGAGTACATATGTGGTAGAGGCACATTATGGTTGCAGCACGAATGGGTCGGTTCGACCGGGGAAGGACCATGCTGTCACAGAATACTAGCGTTGAATAGCAGTTTAGTGTTACTTTGTTGCATATAATACTTGTTTAATCTTATGACGTTTGAAATAAAGAAAATAAGCGGGCGAATTTTTTCTTTACCTCAAAAAATGACTAAAAATAATTTATATTATATTTATATATATATTTTTAATTAGCATTTTATATTTTATTTCTATACTAAACACTGTATAAATTTTAGGTGTTATCGAGGCCCTACTGTAGTATAATATATTTTTTTTTATAGGATAAGGGTGAGAAACGAGCACACAGTCCACCTGATGGTAAGTGGTTGCTGTGGCCCATAGACATATACATCTATCTTCGATTAAGAATCAAAATGCAGATGCGTTGTCACCCGTGAGGACTAAGATGGAATGCCTCGTTTCCATTAAAAAGGGTCTCCGGTTCTCTACACTCACCATACGAAACACAGCAGCGTTAAGCTGCTATTTTACGCTGATATTCTGTGAGAGCGTGGTCCTTCCCCGGTCGAGCCGACCCATTCATGCTACAACCATAATATAGCTGCAGCATGGCTCTACCACGTATAAATATATATATATATTTCTGTGTTTAGACGATATATGTTTTTATGTTGTGTATGCATTGCGTTTATATAGAGTTATTTTGCAATAACCGGCCAAATTTGCAGAGAAGGTTCAGAATAAGTAATATAGGCAAATGGTAAAGAAAAATTCATTAAAAAGAATCTCAAACATTCTGTCCTTTTTATCTTTTAAATTCAAACACACAGATTCGTAAGGTCAATCAGTATGCAAAAACGTTATTGCCCATAAATCACATTCAATTTGGGATACTTTCAAATAAAAATAAAAACCTTATCTACTCTATTTTATAAACTGCAAGAATGGTATATCATTATTTATATATCTGAACTTAAGTTTAAAATTTGGCTTCTAATAACCCTGTATACTCAATTGTTATAAACTTTTTATGTTAAAACTTTTGCATTTTGTAACCTAACTATATTTCTGTTTGCCGTAGCTTTCTCCAGCTTTTTATGTACTTATGTGCAACCATAACTTAAATTCAAATTATTAAAACGAAGGCCAACCGAGCAATGTCACAGGAATAACTAGTAATGTAAAAAAAATATTCTAATCCAGTTGCTCTTCACATCCCATCAAGACTATAATCACTTAAAGTTGTCGTTGTCGAAAGTCGGTCAGGACATCTTCATATGACAAAAATACATCAAAAACAATGTACTAACCTGGTCGTGCCTGTTCATGTGGTTGCTGTAGGCTCGAGGGTGGACAAATCCCTTGTAACACTTCTCACATTTATACATGGCGTTCAAATAATTCTCCGAGCTTGCTCTATCCAGTAACTCTTGCCTCTGCTCCTCTACGGTTAGTACTATTTCATTAGCAATGGCTTCTACATCTAAAAGGAAGTGAATATTTTTTTAATTTTGTACTAAATATATGCGCCAAATATTTTTTACATCTGCAGTATCCACCAAGTTAGACATCCTAACTATATGAGATTGGCTCACACCCGCACATACACTAATGTGGGACATCACACACTGAACAACTGAATTATAAACATATGGAACAAGTTTCCTCAAGACGTGGTAGATGCTCCCTCTGTGATTAGTTTTAAAAACAAATTGGACGAATGGTGTAAAGACAATCCAATTTAGTGTATTCTTAGTGTGTAACACCAACACAGATATAGGCATATCAGCTATAAGCTACTCGCCTATTACCACATAATAATAATTAAAAATATAATATACCACATTTCATATTCCTACATTGTCATCCGATTCTGAGCTACATTCAAAATTTCAAGTATGTAGCTCATCGGGAAGTGGTCGTAATTTAAGTTGCAATTATCCACCCTGAACGGCAGACAGACAAGAGACTTAATAAAAATGTGGTAAAATAAAGTTATGTAGTATATAGTATTTTTTACGTGGTACAGCCATGCTGCAACTATGTTATGGTTGTAGCACGAATGGGTCGGCTCGACCGGGGAAGGACCACGCTAGCACAGAATACCAGCTTAAAATAGCAGCTTAACACAGATTTGTTTCGTATGGTGAGTGTAGAGAACCGGAGACCCTTTTTACTGGAAACAATGCATTTCATCTTAGTCCTCATGGGTGACAACGCATCTGCATTTCGATTCATAATCGAAGATAGATGTAGATGTCCATGGGCCACAGCAACCACTTACCATCAGGTGGACTGTGTGCTCGTTTGTTACCCTTATCCTATAAAGAAATGTAACACTACACATCCAACTGCTGAACAGACCTCTCATTTCTGGTAGAGACTTCGTGGAAATGTGGACAGACTTCATATTTTGTTCCTGATTATGTTTTGAGTACTTGGGTGATCGAGCTTGGCATGGAGTTAAAGAAAACGAGCGAGCCTTACAGTACTCGCATATGATGTGTAACATTGAACATCTCACCTTGGTAATAAGCAACATGAACATTATATCCTAAAAGAAGCTATTTGTTTTTTTTTAATCAATATAAAAAATATCAATTGAGCAGCGACAGAAATTAACTTCAAAATTTATTAAAGCTAATACTGAAATTTATTTCAATAAATAATTATTCATTACTAGCTGATACCCGCGACTTCTTCCGCGTTGCTTGATATACATATCAAGGAAACACACATCACACAGTGCTTATAAAATCGTTGTTTCTTAAAACTTTAATAACTTTATATTAAATGAAGATATCGCAATTTTTTTTTTTTAGATAAGCGCCAAGTGTCTAAGCAATAAAACTTAGAAAATCTAATTGAAATCTATCCAATAGTTTTTCAGTGATACGCGCACAACTGCTAACCTCTATCATTTTATTTATATAGATTACTCACTTGCATTTTTTATCAATGATCTGCACTTTTGTGAGACACTTAGTAAATACATTTATTAATATAGTTTACACATATAAATTAGTTTATGTAACAGCGCACTTTACTAGCACCGCGCGCGCTCATTGGTCATATCAAATAGCGCGCGCTTCCCGACTTCCTGTTACACACTTCCGTCCCTTTTCACGAAATCACTCCCACAGATGCAAGAAAGTGAGAGGAAAGATGTTACACATCAAAAATACATCAGGTATAACACATAAATAGATAACCCTTATATTATAATACAAAATTTCATCCAAAATTTTTTTTTATAGAATAATTTTGACAAATGAGCACACATTCCCCCTGATGGTAAGAAGATTTTTGTATAGAATAGGGAGGCAAAACGAGCACATAGTCCACCTGACGGTAAGTGGATGCTGTGGCCGTGTGTTGTGTGTGGTAAGATGTCTATACATCTTCATCTACCTGAAAATACAAAATACAGATGCATTGTCATCCCTAAGGACAAATATGGAATGCCTCGGTTCCAGTAAAAAGGTATCCGGTTCTCTACACTCACCATACGAAACACAGCAGCATTAAGCTGCTAGTATGCACTGATAAGCCGTCAAGCAGACTCATTCATGCTACAACTATACCAGTAATATAGCTGCAGCATGGCTCTACCTTGTAAAAATGTATGGGTCGGCTTTACATGGGTAGAACCACGCTCTCACAGAATATCAGACCCTTTTTACTGGAAAGGAGGCAGTTCATCTTAGTCCTCACGGGTGTGAACGCATCTACATTTTGATACGTAAGCGAGGATAGATGTAGATGTCTTTTGGGCCACAGCAACAACTTACCGTCAGGTGGACTGTGCGCTTGTTTGTCACCTTTATCCTATAAAAAAAAATTCGTGCTACAACCATAATATAGCTGCAGCGTGGCCCTACACACACAACCACTACCAGTAATATCAATGTGGAGGACATTGCATATAAACGTAATGTTTTCATGACAATTAAGGTCAAGGTGGCTATCAACGGATACTAGCTAGGATTATTGCACACAAGTGCAAGCACAAGTACAGGTACACTCTTTATTTCCACTCTCTCATAGTCCAATGGGGAAGTAAATCAACACTACTAGAGAGAGATCAGGCATAGCAACAACGGCTTTACGTACTTTCCGAGGCACGGGGTTGAAACACTGCCAATTTCCTGACTGCGGACTGCTACTGAAAATATTGACAGAAAAACGCAATCTGATTGTGGACCTACCCAGGAGCAATTGTGCTTATAACAACTTTTTCAGACATGTTAATAGCCGTAACAACAATTGAGTATAAGTGCAATCCCCTTTCCTGTTTTATCTTAATAACACCTTGGGTCGCCACTGGCGAATTCAGTTCCCGCACGAAACAAGATAATTGTATGGCCTACAAATAATCATTTTGGTTCTTTAACTATTTACTTAACCCATTGACCGCCAACGACGCTTCAAAACGTGATTCAAAATTATGTTCGAGACGCCGATGACGTCTTAAAACGTCTAAAAATGCTGTTTGATTACCATTTAAAAAACTGTTATGACTATGTTCATTAGAGTTTATTTTTGACCCAGTATCTTACCATGACTGCGCTGAAGATATATTTACCAGAGAACATAGGAAAAACTATCTAATCAATTGCATAAACATTTAAAATGAATGCCCAAGAACTGAAGCATTAAAGTTATGTACCGGACGTGTTTACGCGTCGCGTAGTGATGTTTGTCTACCCACTAAAAATATATAATGATGTAGGTAGATTGAAAGAGAATTATAGCGATCTAGTTCGGCACTAAATAGCGGTCGTATATCAACGTATGTTTTGAATCGTTACTTTTGTTTTGTGAAAATAGGCGATAAAATGATCTTAAATAAAATTATTTTCTTTTATATTTTAAACTTTAACTTTGGATAAAATAAATCCGAACTAATTCTTATATCTAACAGGAAATTTTTGTTTTGGATCTGTACAGCCATACAACATTATAATGATAAATAGTCTTTTATTTCCGAAAATCGAGTTTATGCAACTATGTTTATGCAAATGTCGGTAGTTCCCGTTTATCAATATTTGTCTTTGTTTTTGTTTATGTACTCGTATAAATCGCAAAATAAGTCGATAATTTAATCGACCTTCACTATCTATGACATATTTTTATGTTTCGCGCACGCCATTGACGACTTAAAGCACCCGCTTATGAGGTCACAAGCGCTTTAGCGGATATTGGTAGTGATGGGATTTGAAGATAGAATGAAATATATTTTTATAAATTTACTCTACAAACAGATAATATTACTGTAGTAAATGACTGTTTAGAAATTAGCTGTGTCTCGCCAACAACAACAAAAATTCAGGAATTTGCGTTTAGAATAACCTAAACTTAGGGGATTTTTAGGTACTAATTAGGTGCCAAGTTTAAAAATTAGGTGCTCTAAAATTTTCACCGCAACAAACTGTTAAATTTTGCGCAGCTAGCAAAACGAATCGCTAGCAACGCAGTGACGATGATAGATATACGATAAATATTAATATCAAGGAATTAAGTGCTAATTAGGTGCTGCAAGTATAGGCAATGACAAGGCGCCCCTAATAAAAATAAAGTCGTTATTAAGAACAAAGCAGATGCAAAACTTAAGTTTTCTGAAAATCAGAATAGAATTAAAGTTGCTTTTTGAATAAGTCCAAATTAGGGGCATTTTAGGTGCTATTTATTAATGTATATTATAAAGTATATTATTACATCGATAAAGTCACTTACATCACTATAAATGTAGGAAATATCTGTTAATAGTACACGTTGAGGTCGCCAGTGACGCTTTAAGGCGTCAACTAGTTGCGCTAAAATTCTTGATCCCTATCTTACATTCTGAAAGCATTTTGGTGTTAAATCTTTATTGATAGGTGAAATAACATTCATATTAATGTATTATTGCTTATTTTGATCAGAATCTTTTCTGTACTACTTTGTAATATTGCCAAACGTACAAGTTTAAAGAGTTTTATTATAAAAGTTTTGCATAGCGTGGTACATCACTACCGAAACGAATAGAAATTTTAGGGAAAAAATGCGCGTGGCGTCCGGGGAAAAACATTGATATTAGGTCTGGCGGTCAAATTGTTATTTTTTTTTTATAGATGTAAAATTTTAATATAGTGCTTTTTTATTTTTAATAAATGTTTTATAAAATAAATTCTTACCTATGTTGTCATAATCAACATTTTTATTATTTTTGCACTTCTTTTTTACTTTTACAGTCTTAGATTTCTCTTTCCTCTTTGAACTAATTGCAATTAGTGGCAAGTCGTCCTCCGAATCTGTCTGTCTATCTCCAATAGCATCATTCTCCAAGTCTTCTGCTTTTCCATCAGTCTCTAGAATGGAACAGATTCTGACTTATATTGAGTAAAAATAAAATAAAACTAAAAACTAATATTTTTTCCAAGTGACTAGATCAATTCAGTCCATCACATAGCTTATGGGCCAACAACTTACATTACCATACTGTGTATACTGTATTTAATGATACAGTATACACAGTATGGTAACAAAGTGTAATAAGCTGAAGTGGCAATGGAGCGGTCAATAACTGGAAGAACTGACAATCGATGTGAAAGAAAAATTTTTGAGCAGCAGCCTCGTACTTGTAGACAGTGTCATTCCCCACTAGATGAAGTGACAACCTGATAAGACATGCAGGAAGTCGATGGATGCAGGTGGCTCAGGACCGTGCTTTCTAGGTTTCCTTGGGAGAGGCCTATGTTCAGCTATGAACTTGTGAAGGGCTGTAATGATGATGATGATTCATTCTCCTCAATTTTGAGTGGTCTGCCACAACTTGTTTTTAGAATGTAAGTGCTTGCTAGTACAAGAATGCCTTAAGCAACTATTCACCATATTTTTTTTTTGTATGAAGTGACAAACAAACTGACAGTTCACTATATGGTATGTAGCTGATCTACCTGATGGTAAGTGGGTACTGTACTCCACGGACTGCCCGCAGCTAACTTCAAAACAAGGCTACAATGCACTGTCACCTCTGACGACTAGGATGGCATATACTGACTCTATACCCTTCAAACTGAAATACAGCAGTAAACACACTGTATTTGACGGCAGAGATAGTTAAGAGGATTAGAGAGGAGTACATGTGGGTAGGTACCCCTTGGTGGGCTTCTTGGCAAAAATGGATTCCCATCACCTAATAATGACACTAAGAAATTGGCAAAGATAGGTTCATCATTAATTAATATGAAATTAATACATCTTAGTGACATACATACTAGCTGCATTTATATAAAGTTATGTTAATATATAAGTAAAAAAAATGTCTAAAGAAGCTTATTATGATGTTAACTTGCTTATCTTAATTTTTAATAATTATTTAATTTGTAATTTTTATTCTCCATAAATGCTCTTCACATGCTTTTTGAATTTAGGCAAAGGCAAAGCAGTAAATCAGTACATTGCATATGAAGCCCTCTTTATTTTGTGTTCATGGGCTACAGTAACCACTTGCCATTAGGTAAATTTTACCTTATTTAAATAATACCAAAAAAAGGTATAACTTACCTGTTTTATGATTCCCATTTTCTTCAAATTTTGAATTCTCATTTTCGAAATTCTCGTCCTCTACTTTAACAGAATCAAGGCTAAAATTTTCATCCTTATTACCATTTTCTGTATCACACTCTACTGACCAGATATCTATATGATAAATTGGTGTGAATTTAAACTTATTGCTAGCCTCATGTGATTTTTGTATTGACTGAAACCAAATTTTTTAAATATGAGAAAAAGCCAGTGTAGTGCTAACATACGAGAATCCATACTACCCCATATCTTCCTGTAGATGTCGTAAAGAGTCAAAGGGAAACAGAAACAGGAAATGAGCAGCAGTGTCTTCCTGATAACTCAATTCATTCACACAGTCTCTTATCACAAATAATGATGACTACTAAACCCCACTGTCTACAATTCCAAGTCAATAATGGTTTGACAGTTTTTAACTTCTGCAGAAAGTACATCTATAACTAGATTGAGAAAGTTCTAAAGGTAAAGATTGTAAAAATTGCCATAAGCACTTCTTTGGCAGAATGTGAGAAACAGAAATGGAAAGTTAGTTAACGAAATACCAGGTATAACACCAGTAGCTAAATTTGTCCTATTTCTGTTTCCCTCTGCTACCTATAGAGGGAAACAGAAACAGCAAGTGGCGGCAGGCACCTTCCTGATAACTAATCAGATTAATATAAACTGCAGTTTCCAGCTTACCCTTTTTGGCAAATTTTTGAAAAATTCCCCCTATGAAGCAATCTATAAGGGAGGCCTATTACCTATAAGGGAGGTTATAGGATAGGGTGACAAACGAACACACAGTCCACCTGATGGTAATTGGTTGCTGTGGCCCATAGACATCTACATTTATCCTCGTTTGCGAATCAAAATGCAGATGCGTTGACACCTTTAAGCGTTACACCGTTCTAAGATGGAATGCCTCTTTTCCAGTAAAAAGGGTCTCCGGTTCTCTACACTCACCATACGAAACACAGCAGTGTTAAGCTGCTATTTGACGCTGGTATTCTGTGAGAGTGTGGTCTTTCCCCGGTCGAGTCGACCCATTCGTGCTACTATACTACTAATATAGTTGCAGTATGGCTCTACCACGTTCAAATGTTAGGTGTGTGGACTTCTATAGGTTTAATGGATGAAATAGATAATACCATGGACCCTCCTCCAAGCAACTGCTCCAGAACTGCATTTGACTCAATGGCCTGTTGTTGTAAACTTCTGCACCGATGGAGTTTTGCATGACAAATGAAACAGATAATTATGGGCCTCTCATCCTCATTCACCTGAAAAAATGAAAGTACTTAATAAATATCGAAAACTACTTAAATATATAAGTTTGTAATAAAATCTACTTTGACAGAGGTAGTTTTAAGTTTGAGCTTTCAAAATACAATGCTACTAAATCTACACCTATTACCTAACCTATTAAAATTTTAACTTTAAACTACTAGCATCACTATTAACATTACATATACTAATTTTATTTGCTCTAAGTTAGCAATGCTTAAGGTGGGAAGAATTTACAACAAAAAACAGAAATATTAAGTTGCTATTATACATTAGTATTTTGTGAGCATAGTACCACCCCAGTAGAGCTAACCCATCCATGATACAACCATAATATATCTGCAGTGTGGCTCTACCACATGTCCTACAGATAGAATTTCGGTCACAAAGGAGACTTCATCAGCCAGTAGAGGATTATATTGCATGTGTGTTGTGAGCATGCATATGTGCACATTATTCCCTCTTCTGATTTCTCAATCTGATGGGAATATGAGAAATATGAGAGTGAGGGAATTTCTGTGTCTGTAAGCACATCTGCACTCTATGTGTGTGAAACACCAAACCAGGATGGATGTCAATTTCTTGCCAGAAAATCGCAATAATACTGATTGAATAATATGTATTAGACCAGACTACGAACAAAATCTGTGTAGTAAGCAGTGTGCAGGAGGCACACACTCGGTAAATTTCAGCCAGCGGGCTCTAACGCGTTTTTGCAAACAACTAAGTCTCTGTTTCTTCTAGTACGTAGTACATCACTTCAATACTGATTTTAGTGCGACCCAGGATTCCAGACTAATTGTTATTTAACAGGTTCTGGTTGTATTTGTCACTATATTTAACGCTGCACCTTAGCCTAGCCCCGATTTATCGCATTTTATAACAGGCAAGTTATAATGTATTTTTCCAGTGATAACCACTCTCACATACAAAAGTGTATCCACCAGACAAAACAAATCACCGCATTTTCAATTTGCAATATTTAAGAAATATTAATGAACTTACAAAACTGTTCGTCAATGTTTTATACAAATTTTGGAGGTCAGTCTTCTTTAGTACAAACATGCGTACATTAACGCTTAAACAAATTCTACAAACTTCACTAAAGGCCATTCCTGTTTCATGTAGCTATCGTATAATTGAATTCTGTTTTTCATCAATAAACCTGAGTTTTCAAAAACATTAAAATACAGCAGGGAATAGCACCAAAGAGAATATAATCACTACGTTTATAAATATATATATATGAATGAATGAATAGCACTAGCGACGCCGTTGCTTTTTTTTTATGACTGGCTTTATGGCTCTGGGTTCTAGCCCTTCTGAGGCTGAAGTCAAAGAGAATATAACCAGTACGTTTAGCTGAAGTGGCGAACGTGCGTCTAGACTTTTGCGCCAACTGGTAGCAAACATCTGTTCTACTTGGGATCGTTTATTACATTGTAACACGCAATTTATTTTTTAATAATTAGTAATAAAATACATTGATATTATTTTTATAATGTCAACTTCAAGAAAAAATTGCTGTATCCGTCGTAGATAGAGGATTGACTAGATAAAGCATTCGCGTATGTTTTTGAGAAAGAAATAGGCGGGAGGTACTTTCCCTGGGTTACTTTAAATTTTGTGAACTTACACAACATATAGAAATATTAACAATGTAACATTAAGTAAAATAAATAAAAAACACAACTATATATTAAATATAATTCAATAAAATTAAAGTAAACAAACGATTATTTATTAATTATTCATCACATTAACAAACAACAAAATCAACATAATATTGTTTTCTTTCCAGAGCGTTTGTTGTAATTCTTGGTTTGAGGAGTTTTAGAATTTCTCAAAGATATGCATTTATAAACTTGATTTATAGTTTTGCATGGCAGAAATTCTTGGGTGCTGGTTGTTAGAATCGGATTAGAATGGAATATATATATATATATATATATATATATATATATATATATATATATATATATATGCCTTGTAAATAATATATTTTAGTGGTATAAATAATAAGATACAACTCCTAAACTATACTTAGATAGATAATACCTTTATCTATCTATCTATTTATCTTTATTACAATATTTATGTCAATTAAATGGAAATTATAATAACTATTACATTTGTTTCTTATTTTAATTATTACATTTATTTCTTTATTTATTTACACATTATTGTTTATAATACATTGGTAGGCATTCCCAGAGTGAGGTTTAAAATTATTATTGCATAAGAAATTATTCATTTGTGTATTTAGGTCAGGACTTAAAATTATTTATTTATTTAAATCTTAAGTTGCATAAAACATGGTAGTACAGATAAAATTCCTACATTTGTACTCATTTACAATTCATGTATAATCAATCTATCTATAAGTTAATATTTTGTTATTGTCATGCAATCAAATTACGTAATGAAAATCAAATAAAATTATTACAAGTCATAATAATACAAAATGACAGCATTTGAAAATAAAATGTCAAGAACCATAAATAAATTAAGCAATGCTAGAACAATGTCAAAAATACTCATATAGAGAAACAACACTGGCCTCTATATATGGACTGGCTATACACCTTGGCATTTTCGATTTGATTTTCGCCATTTTGGCGCTGAGAGCAGAAGTGAACGTCCAAGGAACTAATAATAAAGATAAGACAGTGGGACAAAACATATCGATAAAAATTTTATACCCAGGCCTACCTGTGAAGTCCATTCTATTTATGAATCATATTAATATAATGCCATACAATAAATAAATATGTCAACTAATACCTAGGTTTAGGGTATAAAGCTTGCGTCTAGCGCAAACTTTATACCTCATATAAAACCAAGATCGACGCTGCGTTGGTCTATCTACGTGTATTCGTAACTACAGAATGGATTTTGTTCCGGATTTCAAATGAGGAAATTCATATGCATACGCGCTTCACGGTGGCAAGAACGGATTATGTCGGACTTGTACCTACTAAAGCACCATGGTGTTTCACCTTCTCTTCCCAGGATCACGGAAACGCTTTCAAACACATCCGCGGCCCAACCAACGCCAGCCGCTCAATAGCACTTGCAGTCCTTAGTTGAGGACTTCTCCTTCCCTTCTCAGATAAGGCACACTGTCATTCGCAGGCTCCAACTCCGCCTGTACAACAGACTCCCCCAGCACCAAATGGATAGTCGAGTGGCGCATCGCTGCGGCGATATAAGGAGAGGACTCTCCTCTAGCCGCAGCCCACTAATACGTATTTAAGGGCTCGACAAGCCCACTCAGTATCGGAATCCTCGGCGTCGACATATCGAGTGACGTGCAATTTCGTGTTCACTTGGAAGAGAAGGCCAAATTGGCGTCTAAAAAGCTTGGCGTGCTCAGCAGAGCAGCACAGTATTTCATGCCGTCACAACGCCTGCACATTTACAAGGCGCAGGCCTCACATGGAATACTGTTCCTATCTCTGTGCTGGGCCTCCCCAGTGCCAGCTCCTTCCACTTGACCGCATACAGCGCAGAGCAGCTCGAATTATCGACGACCGAGTCCTTTCCGATCGGCTCGATTCTTTGGCGCTGCGAAGAGATGTTGCATCTCTTTGCGTTTTCTTTCGCTTTTACCACGGGGAGTGCTCTGAGGAATTGTTCGGATTAATCCCAGCCGCCAAATTTCATGAACGCACATCGCAGCAGAACTCCCGATACCATCCACACCATCTGGATGATTGGCGGTCCACCACTGTGCGATTTAGAAGATGTTTTCTTTCTCGCACAACTTCCTTGTGGAATAGTTTACCACCAGCGATTTTTCCGGACCGATACGACTTAGGGACCTTCAAGAAAAGAGCGTACTCATTTTTAAAAGGCCGGCAACGCATCTGCAATTCCCTCCCTGGTGTTGCAGTTGTTCATGGGCGGCGGTAGTCATTTACCATCAGGTGAGCCGCATGCTCGTTTGCCCCCTCTCCTATAAAAAAAACTCAGAGTGGCCACCTTGGGCCAGCCCTTCACTTCAGGCCAGACATGTGAGTTGCCCTACGTTTACGACTAAGCTATTGCTACTAATCAGGGGGGAGCCCTGCCACGAAAAGGCGGGAACCCGTTTAGGGAGGACTTACTAAGAACGTTAATAATTTTGCAGTCCTATTATAAATTTATTTCCTTGATATAATAAAATTAATTGGTCATATTTAAACAGATTTAACAAATTTAGGTCTTGTAAACACAAAGTCATCATCAGGCGACCTTTCTACACTTGGTTGTGGCCCTTGAGTGTGAGGGAAAATAAGGAGAGAAGAAATTAAAAAAACACATTCAAAATAATAAAATAATAAATCTAATACTTTTATACTTACTGGTACTGGTACTACCAGAAAATATTGTGGGTATACTGCACTTTTTCAAAGTGGTGCGTTTCTCATGTCTAATAAAACAGTCGTTTGTGAAGTGTTGAGAACTAGAGGTTCCCAAACTTTTTTTTCTCGTGGACCACTTTCAAAGTTTTACTATTTTCGGTAGACATTACATTTCTAATGTATTCCCAAAACTCCTCAAAAATATCACCCTAAATTGAGGGTGTTAAGAAGAAAGAAAATGTAGCACATTTTCTTGTGTTCTATTTATTATAATAATACTAGTGGTGATACAAAATTATAAACATTAATTATTACAAACAATCAACAATTGACAAAAAAATCAATAATGAACTCTGAAATGTAAATGAACAATAAAAAATAGTCAAACTTTTAATGAGACGAATGTACTTGATGATTTTACAGCAAATTAGCAATATTTGGCTTCAGTTCTGAAATGCTGTAGAAATAGGGTCATTAAGGAGTATGCTAGGGCTGAATCTGAATGACAGGGTGAGACATAGTGTGATAAGAGAAAAGTGTGGTTTGCATGATGACGTTGTGAACAGGATTAAAAAAGGAATGCTTCGGTGGTTTGGTCATGTAGAAAGAATGAACGAGGAAAGAGTGACAAAGAAAATTTATGTTTCAGAAGTGAACGGCAGAATCGAGAAGGGACGGCCTAGATGAAGATTTATCGACCAAATCGGCAATACATTGATAATGGGCCAGATTAGGAGTACCCTTAACCGATGAGCATGTATGCGTAGATATATGGATGTAAAGGAGGCGAGAGAGGTGTGTCAGGATCGCGCCAAATGTAAGTCCGTAGTCTCTGCCTACCCCTCTGGATGATAGGCGTGAGTGTTTGTGTGTGTGTTCTGTAGAAGTAATCTCAAATCTCTCCGTTCTGTGACGTTCAATCTTCTCCTTTTTTTGTTAACAGCTTGGTAACGGCACTAAAACTTCTTTCGAGAAGATATGACGAAAATTTTCTCGCAATTTACCACGGCCTAAGATATTTTTCAAGAAATTATGCCTGCAGCCAAACTGTTTGATAGCCTTTTTTAAATTTCACCTTCAGTTCCTCGTTGGTGCTGAGCTCAAGTAGCTCCTCCACCACATTCGCCTCTTCCGGTTCATTAAATGGGGTTATGATCCGTGGTGTTATTTCCATCGTCAGAATATCTTCAAATCTATTTTTGAAGTCATCATGCAGGGTATTTAAATGTTGAGCGTATGTCTGTATATCCTCATCAAGACATTCTATCTGTGACAAGTGCGGAAACTGGGAGAATTCGCGCCGACTAATATTTTGCTTCATTAATTTCAATTTACCAAGAAAAGCCGAAGTTAAACCCTTTGTTTTTATTAAATTAAGGCTGTCTCCTTGTAACTGCAAGTTAACTTCATTGAATTTTTTGAATAATTGCGTACTTAACAGATGTTAAGTACGCAATTTCCGCTTTATATTTAATCAGATTTTCTTTTAAATCTGGTGCTTTAGTTTCCAGAAACTCGAAAAATGAGTAAAATATCGATAAGCATGCACCTTTCGACAAACAGCGTACTTCATTATGTAAAAGCAGTCGTTGGAAATTTTCATCATTTTCATCGCACAATAGTGCAAATAAACGGGTATAGAAAGCATTGCTTCTTATTTTATTAACTGCGTTAATCACAAATTGAAGCGATTGGTGCAATCTATCACTCAAATTTTTAGCTACAAGGTGTTGTCGGTGGATGACACAGTGAATTGCAATTAGTCCTGGTATTATTATTTTAAGATGGCTTATAAACCCACGATATCGCCCGACCACGGTAGGAGCTCCATCTACTGCTACCGAAATAATGTTTATAAATGGAATAGGTTTTTCTGTAAAAAATCATTGTTCAGAATTTTGTTGCATAAAAGATACATA